CTTTATTTTCATCGTATTTAAATGTAGTGTTATGTAAGCTATTGTATTTTACATGTAAAGTTGGGTTTTTGTTTTGTTCCACTCGCCTTCCATTTGTTTATAGAAGATTGGAACTAAATGATGTTATCAGAACTATATACAACTATATCAAGAAATTTTGTGAAATAATAACGATGACACTAATGAGTGTGCTTTTTAAACTTGTTACAAACAATACATCGCCGCTCCTCTTCGTATGACCGTCTGACGTACCATCTGTCAGGACATTGTAACCAGTTCACAAGCATCGCAGTATATGTCATCACATCTATCAATTTTAATAGTTTAGTCGTAATAAAACTTTATTTTTTCTGAAACTTTTATGACTACTGTGAAAGTCTGGGTCAAATATAGGGCTGTGCGACTATACAAATCTGTATGTATCCCTTACAGTAACACTGACTTAACCCTATCCTGGTGTGTATAAGAATGTCCTGCTTACCCTGCATCTTTTTCAGAGCATGTTTGTCCTGGTTGTTGTTTGTTTCATGTGAGTTCTGTTTTCCTGCTGAGCTGTTAACCCTTCTGTGGCTTGGTCCGTTGTTTATGACCCTTTCCCGACTTACAATAGTTTTATTTTAATCACATGTATGTCTGTGTCCTTATTCTCCGCTTATCTAATTAAAAACAGTCTTCCTTGCTGAAACGTACATGCAATAAACTTACAAAAAAATTAACTTTGTATGCAGTTTCTAGTCGTCATTCAGCATTCAAATTGCAACAATGTCCTGTTTTGACCCAGGCTTGTTTCCTGATTGGTCCATGTATTCAATGATGCCATTTCATTGGCTGTTTGTGATGTTGTTTTTTTTGCATGGCATTCTATATCATCATGGAGACGTGTTGTAAATAGTTGTGGATAAAAGTGGTATTAAAAAGGCATTTATATTAAAGGCTATATATAGAACGTTACTGTGTCTTTTTATTAGGATTTAAATCTTTTTACTAAGCCTGCCAGCCCTCACTGACCTACACTCTCTTTTACTAAGCCTGCCAGCCCCTACTGACCCAGACTCTCTTACACAGCATGTCTTCAAAATATCGTATAGTGGTTTGACATTAATATTAATGTCACTCATTGTTACTCATTTGAACATCCATAGAAAACATAACATTAAAAAACAAATTTAGTTTTTAGCTTTGCTGTCGACAGCTGAGCTATTCATATTTCTGATTATGTGTCATTGCCAACTGTAGATTTTTGACTGCTTATTAAAAGCCATCTCTCATATTTTTTCATTTCGTTTCATCTTTTTGACTTTGATATTTTATTTGTACGTGTAATTGGATTTCAGTCTGATTTGTTGATATCGTCATAACTTTCATTCTCTAATTTTAGTTAATTTACGAAAACCAACAGGCTGATTGTTTTGATATTTTTTTATGTTGGTACCTTGGATGGACCTCTGTTAGATTCATTCTGCTATCGGATTACTTCAATCGGATTACTTCGATCGATACCTTCAATTTTCTCATTTTAGTGAATATTCTTGCTGTCTTGATACTGGCTGGACTGATTGATTTCATATTATTTTCTTACTATGAATCTGTAACAGCAAAGCTATATCAGCAGACTTGCTGCTTTTTTAGTTTACACTGGTCTAGCGGTTTTGTGCCAGTCAATAGATATGGAAGGTTTGTTTATGGTGAGTGCTAAGACTGATGCAAATATCTATAGTGAATATACGAGGAGTAATTTGATTGGTAGTTGGTTCTTTAATTACCCAATCTGGATGTTTAGTTTGAAAAGCTGTCCAATGAGAAAATGTTATCTGCATGTTGATCACTGCATGAATACTTCCCTATATCGATTGAGGGTATTTGATCAGAAAACAGATTTTAGAGATCTAAAACATTACATTCCAGCTATTTAGCGCTACTAACATTGCCAAAATAATGAACTGTCTTTGGGACTTGATGGGCAAAGTCGTAATGCTGATTTGCATTAACTAACTATATGTAATCTGGTCAAGTAAGAGAAAATGTGTCTTTGTGTGTGAATTAAATAAATCAGTTTGATGGTTTGTGAATGATCGATAAACAACCGGATAGAGAATCCTGATTGAATTGAAATGTTATGAAGATAAAATCAAAATCAAAATCAAAAAAACAAAATCAAATCTCTTTGAGCCATCCATATTTCATGTTTTTATCCATATAAATATAGTAACCAGAAATATGTAAGTATTTAACATATTGTTATCCACACAAATTTTAGAATATCAATGCCATACAGCACAATAGAGAATGTTGGAGTGGGTCAAAGGTCATACCGAGATATTCATTTACTGAGATATTGTGATTGGTCTAGTAGTTTTCAAGTCATTTGAAATTTAGTCTAAACTGTAGTTGCTTTATAAAATGTTGTGTACTGGTAATACACCCATGTACCAGAATTGATGACATTTGTCACTTGTATCATTTTCCAACTCATTTCGGTGTGACAGAATCTTGTACATTGCATCATGTTCTGTTTTTATGAGCTAAAAACCCAAGTTTTCCTAAATAATAATACTTCTTTGTAAGTGAAGACCTTGGCTGTATATCATTGGCAGTCTTGCATTGTTAAAATTTTCTGCATTGTTACTAGTTTATATCTGTGGCATAAAAAAATCATTGTACCATAAAAGTACAATACTTGGACAAACATCATCGTGTTAGTTTATGGTTTGGTTCAGAAATTTATGACTAGATGTACATGTTAGTGAAACTTTGTTCACAACTGACTGATTAGTAGTTACTGTAAGGTAACTATATATGATGGGAAAGGCAGA